TCGAAAATGCTGCTTATCGCTCTCCATATTTAAAAGGGCACCAACCAAAAACTACTGCGTAGAATTAATTGGAATTTTTCACACACAAGCCTTGCTATATGAGCTCTCAAAGCATATAAAAATTATACGACTTAAATGTAAAGTTGGGTGCAAAAGAATACAATTAAATCCTCTGTCGGGAAAAAACGAAATGACTTTCCGAACAACCCTATATTTATACCCCATCACCCCTGTAGGTACTATTTATACTTTTAAAGTGGATTTTCTTTATTATGAAGCAACTTCATTTAGGCAGTTCTAATCTAACGTGTTTGATAAAGCACTAATAATGAATCATCATCATCATTATGTGGTCGTAAGTCCTATGACTGACTGGAAACGCACCTCTACTCTTCTCTATCTTGAACTAATCTTTGCATTTCCCTAAAAGTAGAACAACCCACATCCTTAACTATTTGCGAACAGTAATCTAATCTAGGTCTACCTCTACTTTTCTTAACCACTGTTTCTGCTTCTGAAATGTGCCTCCAACTAGCCCATCATGCATGACAAGGTGACCTACCAACCTATCTGGTCTATTTCTTTTCGACTTCCATAGTGACGCCGGGAACCAAGAACGGTGAACAACAAAGAGGAGGATCACGACGAAAAATGGAATTAGGACGATTTCCACACTTACGACGAAGATACGCCAGTTACTACGAAATCCCAACGATCAACTAAACCCAAAACCCACTACATACACCAGGAGTCTACTTGATTCCTTTCCATTGTTCCAAGGTATACGTAGGCATGATAAAATACACGATCGCAGTAATGAAAAAGGAACACGAAAAGCTTTAGCAGAACATTCTTAGAAGGATGGACACAGGATCACGAAGATACGCAAGTGTTAATACGCATGTCAGACTTTTACAATATAGCAAGGAAGTATGCCCAAACGTCTGCAATCAGAATTCGACCACGGCAGAAAAGCCCAGAAGCTCTTCATCATCAATTAGACACCAGCCGTGAAAGCCTACGAACTACTGTTCTCCTACTCTTTCTAATACCTCCTCATTTCTAACCTTCTTTATCTACGGCAACTTCATCATTTGCATGTAACACTACATTTCGAGCGCTTCTAATCTTTTCTTTGCCACTGCGCTCATCATTCACGTTTCGCAGTCATACAAATCCGTTCTCGAGACATATACCTTTAACAATCTTAATCTTATTAGTATAGTTCTATTAAAAGAATTTATGAGCGTCATTAATAATATGCAAAATAGATTTTACATTTATTTTATGACTATTGTTTTAGTATGCACATTGCATAACCATTTCATCCATTTTATTGACCGCAAGTATGCTAACAATATCACTAAACATCTCATAAAAGATTTTATTGACCCACGTGCTGTCTTTAATGTGAAAAAAAAAAATGAGATCCCAGCACTTTCATTACTGAAAAGTAATAAGAAAGAAGTTTGTCGACCAAACGGGACGACAACATTGAAGAAATGGGAGAGGTTTTTTAAATACCGTCGTAAAATTTAGAAACTTTTCACACTCTATATTCCATCGCTTATTAACACTCATAAAAAATAAATTGAAGACCGTAAGGACGTAACATACATAGCATAGCGATTCTAATAAATAGTGACAGGCATTCTTATTTAAAAAAAAAAGAAAGAAAATAGCTAATGAAATGTCGAAAGAACAAAACATGAAGACTGCATAAGGACCACGAACCCCAAACATTTACCAAACAAGAGGGTGCTAATGTTCCATAGGCTACTGTTAGTGAAAAAAAAAAAGGAGGACGTTCTCAATTCGACGCGTATATTTCTTTTTTTTATGTATGACCACGCATAACTTTTTACAGAATAGTCCGATTTTGATAATCCTTTCTTTATTGGAAAGGGTATACCCCGAAGTTGGTTCCATATAAATTTGGAAAACAAAATCAAACCCTAAGGGTACAAAAACAGGGGATGATTGTTGATTGTTGTTCGCTCACTGATTGTAATGTATGATCACGCATAACTTTTTAATTCTGGTGTAATGAGTTTTTAATAATCCCTCTTTACCATTCAAACCAATGTCTTATTTTTATTACTACAAATACTTGAAATGAACTTATAATTGACAGTATTTTCTCCCTTCGGCATCTCAGTCGACAAAATGAAGAATTGCTCACCACAATTGCTATTGTTGGCTTTTCTTATCATTACTTCCTATTAGTGCAAAATTCGTTTCCGAAATTGTTCAATTTGTCTTGTAAATTTGAACCATGCATACTTCCACTAATAACATTCGCTATAACTCGGTTTTACTGCATAAGGATTTTGTTAAGTCTCCTGTAGGAGTTCGTTTTCCTAATGTAGTTTCCATGCTGCATGCCATAGAGCAAAAAAAATTAACGGAAAGAAATCTTCACGTACAATTAAAACGATTGAAGCACCCCCTGCTGTGCTAAATCAGAACTACTATTTATTTAGTGGCCCTTTCTCCTAATTATCATCGTTACATCTTTAAGTTATAGACATGAACAATCACTAATGGAATATTTTTTTTTTAATTTTCAAAACAAAATGCTTATTTGTTTTCTAGAACGCGACTGCTAAACTTCAAACAACAATGCGAGACCTGAATGATTTGCAATGGTGCAATGAAGCTCTGGAATTGAGATTGGAGAAAGTGGAAGCAGAACGAGACGAACTCCGCAAAAAGTTCACCAAAGCCGTGCTAGAAGTACAACAGAAGACAGGGTTAAAGAACGCCCTCCTACAAAAGAGGGTCGATGTTTTGAACGACGCTGCAGATAGGAAAGATGCTCTTATTGGGCAAATGCAAATTACAAGACCGCACATGAGACAAGTGAATCAGAAATTGGAGGTAATTATTTCACTACTTTTTAGAAATACAGTAAAAGCGGAGTATACGTTCCATAATTATGTCGCGAATACAGAAACCGTGGATATGGAATGGTAATTAGTATGGAATCATAGGGGATACATTCTAAGGTTCCAAAATAAAACAAATACGTATCAGAATATAAATTTGCAAATAAAATTAATCGTTATAATCCCCTTTAGACAAGGGTTTAAAAAATTTAGTGATTATTTCTTGTTTTAAATTTTGAATTAGTCCACTCGGTTATATCTTTTATAAAAGTCGCCTCGGCACGTATCAATAGTACATACTCAAAAGATGCTGATACATTAAGGGGATTCAGTAGTACACGCGCCGTAGAATAAAAACATGCTTATCGGTTCTAGATATCATGAGTTTAATGTTTGGAACAGAGGTTTGAAATTTTGTAGTAAGATAGATAAAGCTTTGTTCTAAAGCCTGTCGAAGGCAATTTTTTAATTTCTTAATTTCTATTGAAAATACGTGTCCTACAAGAAGCATCAAATTTAAGCACTTGTAAAAGCTTTTAATTATCATATTACTGAAAACCAAAAACGTACCGAGTTAGTGTGAACCTTTGTTCGTTACCATACAAAAAATCACACATTTATCTCGCAGCGTTAAATCACAATATTTAGAATAGAAACCCATGTTTTCGGAAAAATTTACACTAGGCACGAGCGGTCTATTGCGGTCAATCCCCTTAATAAATGACACCGAATCCTTCACGGTTTACCTATTGCATCCGCGAATAATGAAATATTTAACCGCGAATACAGGAACTGGGTTGCAATTTTTTCACCCGCGAATATGGAAACTGTGAATACGAAACATTTACTCTGTTGCGTTATAATTAATCTGTCAAATCCGATATTCCCAAATATCCTTTCTGATACGTTTTCATAAAGGAGCTAAATAAAGGTTTAGGCATTTTAAAATTTTATATGGTGAGAACTATGAATTCAAAAAACGCATGTTGTTCTTTGTAATGGATGCAGCCTCATACATGAATGCGTTTTCGCGAGACCTAATACTGTAATCAAGTACATGTGTTTGCACCTCTGTTTTCATAAATAGTAACTTCGCGACCTAAGTACGCCCCTGATAATTACGTTTCATTTTCACATCTATACCCAAGTGTTAAAAACGAAATCATTGTTTTTTTTTTCTTCTTAAAAGTTCAGGGCATACATTTATTGATTACAGGAAATATTAACTAAGAAAAATACAACTATTCAAGAACTTCAGTACGAACTAGCTAGAGTGTGCAAGGCGCACGATGATCTGCTTGCAACATACGAAGAGAAGCTTCTTCAATATGGAATACCGAAGGAAGAGCTCGGGTTTAAGCCCATGAGGGTTGTACCAGAGGGTCAAGCAAACGTAGCTTATGGTCCGGCGGGATTAGTGACTAAAAATAGATAACATCTATAATAAAAAAGAAAACAAAAACCGTGGCTGCATAATATTTACAATACTATTAGTATCAATATCAAATCAAATTAGAAGACACTTTAAACAGAACAGACTGTTTACATAAATTATTGTCAATATTTTTCTTAAGATTAAAACTGCTAATTGTCTCTCTGATTATATTACATTATCTACAGTCAATTTTGCCAAAATTATCAATATTATTTAATTTCTTTCTAATCTAATGCAGAGCCGGGCAAACTTTAACTTCGCAGGAACCGCTACATGAGGTTAGTTTGAGTCACTCCATACCCTTCAATGAGTACGAGAGAGTAAGCAGTAATGAATTATTTTGTTTTGTCTTTTTCTTCTCCCTTCCACTCCCATATCAAGCCCCTTCATCCCGTAGACGAGCGAAGCCACTCACGCAACTTAAAAAATACCTACGAAAATTTTCGTTACTACGTTCGCAAAACTATTGGGTTTGGCTATGGAAGAGGGGACTCATCTACGAAATGGAAGGGATAAGAAAAAGAAAGAATCATCTCACTCGCACTCGCAGGATCAATGAGGAGCTACTTGGTTAACCTTGAGGATCACTCGGGATGCAAAAGATCCGAGTTTGCCCGGCTCTGATCTAATGGATGGATTATTCAACAAATAAACGTTTTGTTTTCGGATTATATGCAGCAATTACGTTCTTTTTGTTTGAAACACTATTCTGTGTTTTCACTTTAGGGTTCCGAATGGAAAACGGAACCCTTGTAGGATCACTCGTGCGTCTGTACGTTTGTCATAGTCAATTTGCTCCAAATCTACTGGACCGATTAAGTTGAGATTTAGTACACATATGAATTTCTGGGGGGCTAATATGAAATTAAAAAGAAATTTTTTCCAAACTGTACCGTGTCACATACCAAAGGGAAGGGCTTGTTGTAAGACTCTCAAGCATATTTTTTTAATAATTTTAAAATAAATAGTTTCAAGGTTGAAAATTGACAATTTCCCCCTTTATCTTCGAAACCATTTAACCTAAAATTTTGAAAAAAATACAGAAGATAGTTGTTTACTTGTAGGTTACAGGACAATTAAGAAGAATACGTCTATGGTCTAAACTGAACGTGGTAAATCGTTCAACAAAACAATATTGTGGGTAGAAATTTACATTTGCAGCTTGAATGCATGGGGGAACGTGTTTTTTTTTAATTTAACTACAATGTTAAGTTGGCTTTCGGGTTAGGGTTCCGTACGTCCGAATTAAAAACGGAGTCCTTACAGGATGACTCCTGTGTCTGCCTGTCCGTTTGTCGCAGTCTATATGCATCGAATCTAATGGACTTATTAAGTTGAGATTTAGCCGCATATCAATTTCTGGGGGTTATTTTTGTGGAGCTAATAGGACATTAAAAGAAAGTTTTGCAATGGGTACCGTGTGACATATCAAATAGAAGGGCTTGTTGTAAGGGTCTCAAGCATTTTTTTTTAAATAATTTTAAAATAAATAGTTTGTTTAGGTGTTTAATAAAATAGATGAAAATTTTTATGTCCGAAACTACTGTACCTAAAAAGAAAATACAGAAGACAGTTTTTTACTTATAGATTACAGGAAAATTAATAAAAATAGGTCTATGGTCTGAATATGATGTGGTAAATCTTCCAACAAAACAATATTGTGTGTACAAATTTACATTTGCCGTTTGAATGCATGGGAACATATTTTTTTTTCAACTAAGTTAAGTTGGCTCTTGAGTTGGGGTTCCGTACGTCCGAATGAAAAAAGGAAACCTTATAGGATAATTCTTGTGCCTGTCTGTCAGTTTCTTAATTTAATCTCAGTTTTTCACTACAAGTACATATGAAAATTATTTTTCCCAAAAATGTGAAGTTCACGCGGTTATTCATCTACAATTATATCTGGTAGGATTCTAATCCATTTAAGCGTAAATATCAAGCTGACCAAGCTTAACTTGTTCACAATGATGGGTGTAAAGGGTGTAGGTTGGGTTAAATATATTAGAATTAAACGCTTCGAATCTCCTGTCATGTGGTTTATCTTTTCTGCTCAGCGTCCATTTCTAGATGATTAGAAGAGTTTGAAATGAATTATCCATACCCAGTGAATTTTTCGTAATTAAATTATAAGATATCAATTACTGCAAACAGTGTGATAAACGCCATTTGTAGTATACATGCTGCTACATTTTGTGAAATTTAAAAATATTCAATAGGGTCATAAAAATATCGACGTAGTAATGTGTTTATTACAGATGGCGTTTACCACGCTGTTTGTATAGAAATTCATAAAACGTTATTTTAAGGCAACAGGTAGAGTGGATTTATGACGTGTCGTTGAGATCCTATGGGATCGTTTCAACAGAATACTGACTATCAGGAACTTTTTGTTCTGATCAGTTACGTGACCTACCACATAGGGTTATTTCTATAGGATAACAAGACGGCTGAAGAGGACCCTAATTGGTCCTAGAACGGCCTGAGGTTGAGGGGTTTTAGTCGGTAGGTCCGAGGACTTCTTCCTCGGGAATCCGACACTACCCAGTCGTACGGACGGCTGGGTGTCTTCTGAAGATTTCCCCTCTTCCACGAAAACAAAAAAAAAAAAAGATACCAAGTTAATCGAACTTTGCTTTTTCCATAAATCCATTGAAAAAGAGTATTTTTCGAAATCGGGACTTTGTCAAGTCTAATTCTCAATCCTTAACGCCCCTATCCTATCATTTTCACCAAATCCTTAACGCCATTTTTGCTTGTATTATATTACAAGATTTAAGTACCGTTTCACATAAAACGCGCGTTTGAACGAGCGTCTCGGCGCGGTGATTTCGTAACCGATTTTATAAGTGCATTAACATAAAGTCCTCAATGAGTCCCTACAAAAAGAAGCGTTGATGCTGGAAATCCTATGACATTGTTAGTTACTTAATAGTGGATTAATATGCAATATTAATTTGAAATAATTTTTTCGATTTTTTATTTACCCACTACTAATCTTCGCATTTCTCCAAAAACTAGAACAACCCATATCCTTAACTACTTACAGTTTACTAAAG